TTCATACTTTCTCAGACATGATCCCCAAGTGTAGTCTGTTTCAACGTTTGAATTGTGGAGTATAAAGAATAAAAAGATGACACACCAAAAGTGTCATGGGGATTGCAAGCACACCGCCCTTGACTCCATGCATCGCCCGTAGGACAATGTTGGAATGAATCGTGTCTATATCCGATGTCCTTGAAAAAGTGGACCTGATCCCGCCGAGCGAATAGGGACGCGGCGATACTGTGAACTGGAGCATCACCCCACCTCTGTGGAAGTCCTGGCGTAAGCTTGGTACGGCTAATAGGAGAATCGACGTACCTCATAGTAAAAACCTCCCTTCGAATCTAGGAAATCAAAGAACTTAGTATACGCCTCGCCACGCCAGAGATCCATGTCGGCAATCTCAAAATTGCTCCAATCTTTGATGGTGGGTCTATTAGATCAAGCCGTTCTACCGGAGAAGGGGACTTACAATGGCACAGGTTGTAAGATGCGCCTCCATCGTCAGACAGGTATCCCATGGAGTTCTGAGGTGCCAGGTACTCAGAATTGTTAGCTATGAATTCTGTCAAAGTCATGGTTGGCCACTAGTGAGAAATGTAGAATTGGGAGGTCGATACCTTTAACATTGCTCCACAGCGACGATATTGTGGGTTCCCATTCCAGTAATGCTATATTGAAACCTATGTGCGGTGAGATTTTGAACAAAGCCGTTTGTTGTGATTTGTTCTTACCATATACTTTGTTATTATCTTGCATGTACAGGAAGGGGTCATACGTTAAGTCACAGTAGAACTTGACATCAGGTCTGCGGATTTGTATCAGTGTTTTGATGTCAGTACTATGGGAACATACGAACTCAACCCTGGAAAATCAATCAGTGGAGTCGAGGGAAAATAAAACCCACAAACCTCCAGTAGTAACGATACGGTTGGAGCAATTCATGATGGTAAAAAAACTATGAATGGAAATAATTGTTATCAGAAGCTATTAGGGAAGCACCTGAGACAGCCATACCCCAGAATTAAATCGGCACATATTTCGGTACCTATCTCAGGATATTTTGGTTAGCATACCAAAAATAAAAGTTCTCACATACGGTACACTGCCTGTACGTCAGGGAATCCGTTCTAAATTTACACACAATACGCATGGTGTGCATTGCTTACCAGCATAAATAATCTGCTGCGCCACCATTCTTTCACGAGATTCCCTGGCGCGAGTTTCGTCAATCCAATCAGGCTGGTTCCAATGGTGATCAGGAATTTGGCCAAAGAACACCGGCGCGGTGGTGATAATTTGAATCCTCCTGTTGAAAATGTGTGAGGGGCGCAGCATGAGTAGGTATCTGAATTACGTTTTAAACTCTTCGGTGAATTCCTGGTCATTCAGCAGGACCCATGGGTAGCCAAAATTCCGATTGAAACGATCTTCTAGTTGTCGTATACTCTCCACCGTACCTTCAAGGTCGCTATTTCTGCACAGTAAGACAAAAGTTGCGTTGGCTCGTCTGGTTCCTTCGATTTGGGTACTATTCTGGCTTATATCAGGAATGGTAGAATTCTGGGTTGCATCTTCGAGCAAAACATCGTGGTCCGCCGTTTCGGAGGGATCCGCGGGTTGGGTAGAAGTTGGCGTGTTGCACATGTGGGTAGATGAGGTCCGGATGTCGAACGCTGCAAGGGTTATTTCGCTATCTTCCAGCGCTAGAGATTGTTGACTAGAATCTCTTCCCGAAACAATCTGCCGATAATCCTCTTGGTAGAGCATGAGGACATAGTGCAGCCCTACCTGTAGAATATTCGCAATCGGGATCATCTTCCAGCAGACATTGACTCACCACAAAACATAGGACCGGAAAAATGAAGCGAGCAGACGTCCGTGGCAGGATCATAGAGGGAAATTGCAAACACCACTTGCGTATTCTGGGCTGCGGATATAAACCAGGTTTATTTATATATCAAACACCTACTAATTTTAGAACGGTATCATGATTCACACCCAGTGGAGACCAAAACTCGGTGGAGTGGTCCTGACAAATGTCGCATCTCCGATGTGAGTTGTGGGTCAATCTCCTGAAAAGCCTGAGATTATGTATCACACATGGAGACGGCGGGACCTGTGCGTTAGAGAACCCCGGCGGTCGCTAGGTGTGACCCAAAGGGTGTAGGTAGTTCGACAGCAAAAAAGCGAAATGCATTCGCAGCCGGGGGACCGCGGTGATGATTCGCTATCAAAACGTATGTGATAAGAACCAAGACGCACAGGTCTCGCAAATGTTATCAAGCACCACTATCTTGGGGGTCCCTCCCAGGTAGTTACACTTGACGGTGTTTGGGCGGGACCGCAATTTGTTACATAGTGCCAGCTGCAGGGAAATAGGCTGTGAGGTTCAGCTGCTCGCCGGACCGCAGCCACCCGTGCAGGTCAACGAAATGTTGACGGTTGTTTGCCCAATTTTTCTTTGCTTCAGAATTTGGCCACCGCTCTCCGAATTTCCATCGACCATCCGCCATGGCGTCTGCTTCGTTCCCAGACCCGCCTGCGAGCTCAGACGTTCACGTGTCCTCCCCCTCCCCCCTCCCTTCAAAACCAATACATTCCTCCCTCTTCTCCCCGTTTGGCATTTATGACCGTTTTGCCCAGTGGCGAACAGATCTCGGCTTGCCGAATCCTGGGACTGTCGAAAACATTCAGAAAGAAGTCAAAGGTTTGCTAGTTGCATTGTATACTAGTCTCTTGTAATTCATGGACGACAGGAACGCACCTTACGAACTACATTTTCGATGGAGCGAGGGCAGACTTGACCAAGAGCTTGTCCATGAATCCTCTCTTCCAGGTTACCCACTCATTCGCCTTGGGCTCACACACATCACCCCCTTCATATAATTTCGGCGCTATTTTTGCCAACCAAAAAGTGGAGAACCAATCCTACTGTTGAGAATGTTTGACTGACGTATTTTTGCAGATTTTTCTTCAGGGTGGGGTTGACCATGATGGAAACGTAAATGCCCGACTTAATCAAGGCTGGACACCTAATAATGTCACCAAAGTACAAGCACAGGTGTGTTGGTATGATCTCTAATGGTCATGTCCCTCATCCCCCTCGTAGTTCTCGTCGCAGGCTGGTCATAATATGGTGCAGCTAGAGCACGACCTGCAGGGACAGGATTACAGTCTGAACGCTAAAGCCGTAAACCCATGGCCTGCCGATCTCACCGGTATCTACATTGGAAGTTATCTCCAGTCGTTCACGAAAAACCTTGCTCTTGGGGTGGAGACCGTATTCCAGAGACCATCACCAGATGTTTCAGAACTGACAACATCATACCTCGCAAAATACACGAGCTCCGCGAAGGATTGGATTGCAACTGCCCAAATACAACCCGCTGGGATCGTGCAAGCAACATACTGGCAAAAATTGAGCGAAAAGGTCGAGGTAGCAGCGGATCTACAAGTTATAGCCGCGCCGACTCGGAAGGACGCCGTCGCAACTCTTGGTGCCAAATATGACCTGCGCTTGGCTATGTTCAGGGCCCAGTTGGATTCCACTGGTAAAGTCTCGGCACTTCTGGAGCAGCGGTTTACCCCGGCATTCACCTTCCTGATATCGGGCGAGATTGACCACCTCAAGGTACGTGAACCACTGCCTGAGGATTACTCATTTATTGACTGATTATTGTTAGAATGCTGCCAAGGTTGGCGTTGGTGTGATGATAGAGAGCTCGAGTCTGACACCTGAGGAGATGGGAATGCCTCCCCAGCCTTAATATCACGTATCTTTTATTATACTATACATATGCTTTGGGCGGAGCAATATCCATGGAAGCCACACCACTCAATGCGTGGGATCAACTTGAGTTTTTGTGATGTTCTGACAATGACATTGCCTCCGTTCTTTGACCCAAACTTGTCACATGGACTCTGATTCCAATGGTCACCAACCCTCCTCCAAAACCACACCCCTATTGGAGCTTCGAGGTGTTACATGTTCAAGGGACAATCTACCTGTCTTCCAGGAAGTAAATATTGTCGTTGATGAGGGCGAGTATATCAAATTTACATATCGAGTAGGGACGAGTCGTAACAGCTCGGTATTTCAGGGGATATTCTGGTGCTGCAAGGAAAGAGCGGTTCGGGGAAGACGACATTGCTTAAATGTATTTCCCATCTCGTATTGTATGATGGTCTGGTCCTTTATCATGGCAGGTGCGTGCTGTCTGTAAATTGGGTATTCTGTTTAGCGAAAATTACATGCTCATTTGCTGGTTGGCGTCTTCGTCCATAGCACACCCAAGAAACACGGTATTTCGCCCACTTGCTACACACAACTAGACTAACGTATTTCAATAGGCGTGCCAACTTACAGAAGTCGGGTCCTCTATGTCCCCCAACGGCCTCCACTGCTCCCTGGAACTCCGCGAGATTTTCTATCTACGATATCCACCCTCAAATCCCGACAGAGCAAACGGACTACGGATACCCTTGAGCACGCCATCAATATCTCGAACTCATGGGGAGTTGATACCCAGCTTTGGGACAGGGAATGGTCCAACCTGAGTGGCGGTGAAACGCAGCGGATAGCTCTGGCGGTTGCCATTGGTCTGAACACGGCTGAAATTCTCCTACTTGACGGTGAGCGCTATGCTTAAAATATAGTGGTGCCTAATATTCTTCCAAAGAGCCAACATCCGCGCTAGATCCTGCAGCATCACTGCTGGTCGAGAAATTCTTGCTGGATGAAATTCACTCGGCCGAAAATACATTGAAAGCTATCATATGGGTAACACACTCGGATGAACAGGGAAGCAGGGTTGGGAATAGATTTATCAATATCTCCAAGGAGGGATGTCATGAGCACCCGTTACCCCAGTTTAATCGAGACTGTTGGATTCTAATCTGCATGTGTGGCAATTGCGTATTCAAGTTGAGTGACTCAAGTTACTGATCAGCCGATAGTTGGTCTAAGTTGACAGTCAGAACAGACCGGGCTGGCGCTGCCACCTCACATCGCCCGTATAGCTCAGTGGTAGAGCATTGTACTTATGAGGTTATCAATCATTGGCCATTGTCATGCAAGGGTCTCGAGTTCGAATCTCGGTATGGGCATATTTTTGGCCCTTTCCCGAATATCCTACAGTTGTTCAGTTCCCATGCCATGGTGATGATGATCAGACTCGGCGGAACGACACGCGTGCATTATAATTAATTGTACAAAGTAAAAATACAACAATAGCCCGATTTGATGGAGGTATCCTAACTTGTGCTGGTCGGTTGTCCAGAACCGTTTACAAGCACTTGGGTTATATCTTCGATAAGTCGGCGAGTGGTCAACAGCTGCTCCCACATTGATTCACAAGTGCCTTTTGTTTTCGCCTCCATCATGGCTTCGGTATCGGTGCGCATCCGATCGAGTGCGGGTTCCATATACGCTCTTACAGCATCCTGTAAGGAATCCTGGAGGAACTGGAGCAGGTATTCGGGGTGCAGCGGTCGAGGTGATGCGGGAGGTGATGGTGGTCGGGAAACATAGGCGGCGTGAGCAGCGGTGAGGGCAGCCAGTTCTTGGGACTGCTTTTCCCGCTTTTCAATGAGTGATTGCATCTTCTCGTTCAACTTTTTTATGTTAGTGTAAAATATTCGCTCGGGGAGAACATACTCACCACACGATACCGCGCTTTATTGCGAGCATCGTCATCTAAAACCTGAGCAAGTTTAATTTCAACCAAGTTCGCCCGCTCGACAAAACTGCCAGAGTCTTGTGCTAATTCCGCAAGCTGGTCTCCGATCAAGTTGGCGCTCTTGTCGATTTGGTCAATTTTTTGTTGAATAGCTTCGGGTACAGTGGCCGTGACATGGAGTAACTTATCGGCTGAAAGCTCCTCGAATTTATTCTCCATGCGCTCGTTAAGTTCCGCTTCCGTATCCCCCTTATGGGAATGGATATCATTGGAAATATTCGACATCACGCCGGACAGATGCACAAATTTTTCCCGAATCTCGTCTATTTCCGCGGCAGTTGGTGCAGGTGTTTTATACTCGTCCTTTGAAAGCCTGAAGCGCTTTAAACCACGCATCTGCTCTTCGCTTGGAGGGTCTACGTCCATGTCCGTGGATCCGAGTTGTGGCTCCCTAGATTCTTGTATGGACATTATATACTGGGAGATATCCTCTGCAGAATTCTTGAGTGCCTCAACCACACCGGGGAGCGAGGAGTCGACTTCTGACCGTGCTGGTTCCTCGATCACCGGCCGCACGGGCCAGCTATCGGACTCACTGAGCGAAGTGACAACGTCGGATATTTGTTTTTTCGTGGCATCCAACTGCGACTGGAGTTTTTTGACAGATGAATTCAATGACGCCTTTCCAGACTCCGAAAGGGCTGTAAACCGAGATGATTGTATGATTTGTTCATATGAGCGGAGGTCTTGCTCGAATTTGCGCTGTTGGGCATGTGCCTGCGCGGCATCTGCGAGGATGCTGTTGGTGGTCAAGATCAATTTGGCATCGAGTTTGGTCGTACATACTTGGTGCGCTTCCTCCAGAGTTCTTTCTTTTCTTCTCTCGTGAGGGGGGGTGGTATGGGCTTTGGTTTTGTGGTCAAAAAAGAAGGGGGAGTCGGCAAAGGTGGCAAGGCAGGAGGAGCATACGAAGGTGGGGGTGGTGGCGGCATTGCAGCTGGCATTTGGGGCGATTCAGGGGGAGGGTCGTCGAGATTGAGATGCTGTAATGTGTTGTCGAGGGACCCAGACATTCGTCGCAAGAGCTCGGGCTCGTCGCCGGAAAGACGGCGAGAATGGGAATCAGCCCTGGGTTCAGTGGGGGACTGTGGTACGGATGGGCTCCGGTTATGTCTGGAAATGTACCCTCCCCGCCTTCCTCTGGGGGATGCCTGTTCCAGGTATCGAGGTGGGTGTGAATCGGGCGTTCTATCCCACTCACGGTCTTCAGGGTGTACGAAATGACAGGCAATAGCGCCGCGCTTGCAGCCTTTGTCTCGTGGTTTCCCGTCGGAATCAAAAAACTAGGTAGCATGGTCGATTTAGTAACTCCATTCCTTGCCCAGAGCGACTTACAAAACATCGTTTCGGAATTTTGGCCATCCTCAGTTGTCCAGAAGTTCTGGTCAAGGCCAAAGATTCGCGTCTACTATGGACATGTACTAACTGCTTATGTAAATACGGCGAGACGTCCAGCCTCAAGGCTTAATATTCAATATCAATATTCAATCCTCCCACACGTTCACAACTTCAGATTGGTGGGTCATTACGGCAACATCTTTGCGTATCGGATTCAGGCGGGGGTAAACAAACTAGGGGAAAGTTAGTGTTGGATAGGGATATCTCATCGGCACGCCGACGTACCCCTTGGTTGTATTCGTTGAGTACCTCGGCTGATATGATGTCCTTATCCTTGATAAGGGCATTGTATGATTGGGTCAGAACGCTGAGCTAAAGATAGTTAGAATAAACTTCTGAGGGAAAATCGTATGCCACACCTGCGCTGTTGCTAGGCCCATAATAATTAACATGATCATCCAATTTGATGAGCTTGTAGCCATCCAGAGGAGGGCATGTGCAGGAGAGTAAATATTGAATAGAGTCATCTCCAGTTCCCCAGGAGCCCATACATCCAGTTGGAGCACTCGAGCAGTCTTGCCCTGTGACATTACAGATGGTGTCGGGGGTTTCATACCCAACAAGAAACGCCAGGATACGGAAAATGTGTACCAAGCCCCCGCATATATCCTGGAACCCATTGAAGGAAGCTTAAGGGGTTCGAGATCAAGTTGTTCGGAGACGAATTTTGCATTTGGCGAAGAGACTGGATCAGATCTTTGATGCAGCCGGTAAATTCTTATCCGTGTTAGCAGGTAGAGGGTATTAAGGAATGATGCAGAGACCAAGAGGATGGTTACTGGCACAGTCTAAATGTTGACCTGAGTTATGTGAAAGCGAGCGAAGGTTGCACGACCAACCCAGTCAAACCATGATTCGCCTTCTCCCTCCCGGTACATATCCTCCCATCCAAGATCTGAGTCGGGCACCTTGCGTATTTGGCTGATTCGGACGCATAGATTTATGAAGTGTGCGAGACCGCCTAGTATCCAGGCAGATGTCTTGCTGGATGGCAAGGGAACATTGTGTGGGAAAAGGGCAATTTCGAATGCTATCACTGATGGAATAGAAGTTATCCTACAAGGTGGGCACGTGAGATGGATGCAGGAGATGAATGGGGTGCTGGCCACACACTTCTCCAGGAAGCTCTTCTTGCGGACAACTGCTTTTCGAGCTGGTGCCCCAGAACCAGAACCACCGACGCCCATACTCTTTCTTGGTCTGTTTTGCGGCGGGGTGGCATAGGGTGGAGGCCTCCTTGTTCGTGCTGCATTCCAGTCAAAGGGCACCGAAGAAGATATGGAAGGAGTGGAAGCTGGGGAGCGGTAGGTTCCAAATGAGATACGACCGCGTGGAGTAGATGGCAGGGGGCTATTTGTTGGTGAGTCCGCTAACGCTGGTGTCCCAGGGATGGTATCTGGAGTGCGGGGCGAGCCCGAGGAGGCAGCATAATTCTCCTGAGCCAATCTACGGAGGGCCATATTGTTTCCGGGGTTCTAGGATGCCTGGAGTGTTAGTGGGGGACGTGGGGAATAATTGACAGCTACGGTAACAATTTTTGCTTTGTGTGTCAACGCAGCATGGCACAACCGTGGACGCGATGGGTCGTGACACGGGTCACAACGCGTGATGAGAAGCGTCACAATGCACACGTGCATTTGGCACGTGTTGTTGAACAATGGAAATGGTAAAAAAAAAGCCAGGAATCGAGGTTCGTTCCTTTTTCAACTTGTTCTCCGACCATCACCTCCGCCTCCCCTGCTTTTATTCTTTAGCGTTACCCTTTGTTCTTCTCTATAAAACCCCCCAACTATCCCAACAAGTGTTCATCACACGCGTCTCATCCCAACCCATCTCTTCCACCACGTCTATCCTACGTCCCCCCACTGCAACGTCCTTGTCGCCTAGTTCATCAATTAGCGGTGGGTCTTCTAGTTCATCGATAATACCTAGCCTCATTGCCCAACCAGTCAGGATGGCCCAACCCTCTTCTTCTCATCATGGCGAACGTCACCACCGTAGTGATCGTGAGCGCGAGCGCTCATCATCACATCATCACCATCGAACAATCTCCTCCACCACTCTCCTCCTAGTCCTTTCCCTCGTATTGGCTGTGTTAGCTGTTATGCTTTCACTTCCTTCCTCTGGCCAAGCAGCAGGTTCTCCTGCTGACCCAGCCGCAACAGGCGTCTGGGGCTATCTTACTCCAAAACGAACACAAGCTCTAATCGCTCGCGAAAGTGCTGTCGCAATACGTGAAGCCGAGGTCGCCCGTCGCGAAGCAGAATTACTTGCTGGGGCCCCGGGTGGTGTTGTTCCCTCACCATCTCCTGTTCTTTGTCCACCTTGTTCTGCAAGTATCACCACCGAGACGGTCATGTCTCCTGCCCAGACTATCATCAAGGAGGTCGTGAAAGAAGACTCTTTGACACCACCTGGATGGACTAGTCCTCGGGCAGAAGAGATTTTGGATCGCGAATTCAAGGTTGCTGAACGTGAAAGGGACATCAGCAAACGCGAAGAAGGTGTTAATCGTCGGGAGCATGATGCAGCACGCCGGGAGGCATGGATTATGGAACATCTTTCGTGAGCTGAATGCATAATGTTCTTCGATTTTTCCTGACGCAGATTCAGTGCCCTTGGCAACGATGACCCTCAAACTGTCGAGGAAGAGTATCACTATGAACCCGTAGGAAACAAACGAAAGCCGAACAAGGTACCGCCGCCTCCTTCGCGCCGCTCCGAGCTTTGAGACGAAGGGGGTCCCCATCCCGACTATTATTCATGTACAGTCCGTATGAATCCCTCCATGACCCCCCCTCTCCAATCCTCCTTCGTCCGGGCTTGGGGGACTACGGTGCTTTTATCTTGTCCCCCTCGTCCTTCTGTAGACTGCCGACCGATAGTGGAGAGCAATCTCGATGCAGACGATTGATCGATCGGATTTCTCCATCGCCCTCACGTGGTCGAATTTGCTTCCGCTATTGTTCG